TCTATGTTTAGTTTGATTAGTTTTTGCTCAACATTACTAACTTTTACAGCTTTATTTCCTTTCATTTTTTGAAATATGCAGGGAAATCACATGCTCTTCACAAAAGAGTGGAGCAGCTATGCACCAGGGCAATCAAATGGGGAGATTTAAAGAGAAAATCAAAGGTATTTGTTCTTTTCATATTAATTTAGATTAAATGATAAGATTTGTTTTGTAGCTTTAAGGTAATGTTCTGGCTAATTAGAACTATTTCACAAATGTGATTAGGTCAATTACTTGCAAATACTGATTAACATGGGTCCATTTCTTTGGGTAAGTGGGAATAAATTGTTGACCATTAGTAGAACTCACTTATCTGTTACTAGTACTTAAAAATACTATTTTTAGAGTTTCCTTCTAGTATTTAAACTCTGATCACTTTCATTAGTACTTCAGCAAGTCAAATGAACTCTATTTGATGTAGACAAGTTTAAGAGTTCCTCTCTTCTACTATTTAAAGGTGTAATACATAAATAGACACTCAAACTTGGCCTCAACTCCCAAGTAAGCACTCCAACTTTGAGAGTGTATATCTAGACACCTCAACTTGGTCTCAACTAACAACTAAACACTCCAACTTGTCTCCACTGTTCTCATGGACACCCGAAATTGAAGGTGACATAAATTTTAAAGGTGTCTAGATGATCATTTTGTAAGTTAGTGGTCAACTGACACGGTGGAGATGAGTTGAGGTGTCTAGATGTGTATACTCAAAGTTGGAGTGTTTACTTGTCAGTTGAGGGCCTGAGGCCAAGTTTGAGTGTCTTTTTACGTATTATCTTTATTTAAACTTTGATCAGTTTCGTTAGGACTTCAGCAAGTACAATGAACTCTATTTGATGTAGACACGTACAAGAGTTCCCTTCTTCTAGTATTTAAACTTTTGATCGCTTTCATTAGGACTTCAGCAAGTGCCATGAACTCTGAACTACATGTTTTCATGCCTTTATCATGATCACAAATTGCAAATTAGGATGAAATTCTCATACGAAACTAAAACTTTTTAGGGTCAGAACTGTTACAACTTCCTATGTTGCTCGGACTCTCCAAAAATGTTGTCACACTCGTGTTGGATCTTCAAAAATGCACTACTTTTGAAGGACACGACATGCATTTGGCGGCATTTTTGAAGAGTCTGAGCAACATAGACGATTTTTGCATACTATGTTCATAGACCAAAGGAACAACAATATTGAAACTTTGATCAGTAATTCTCCTTAAATGTGTATTATGATCTTTGTCAGCAAGAATTGTTCAGTGGATTCATAAATCTGATTATGTTGTTTATAGCAATTGTCTAATTGTTTCTTGCTACTGATGCTCAATGTATAACTGAACATTGTGTAGGCTGAGAAGAAGTTGGCAATCACTGTTTTCAGCTTTCCCCCGGACAAAGGCAACGTCGGAACTGCTGCATACTTGAATGTCTTTGCCTCCATATACTCTGTGCTCAAAGATCTCAAGAAAGATGGGTACAACGTTGAGGGGCTGCCTGAGACTTCTGCTGAACTGATTGAAGAAGTAATTCATGACAAAGAAGCTCAGTTCAGCAGTCCAAATCTTAACGTAGCTTACAAGATGAACGTCCGAGAATACCAGAAGCTAACCCCCTATGCCACTGCTCTTGAAGAGAACTGGGGGAAAGCACCTGGTAATCTGAACTCTGATGGAGAGAACCTCTTGGTATATGGAAAACAGTACGGAAATGTATTTATTGGTGTTCAGCCTACATTTGGATACGAAGGTGACCCGATGAGACTTCTGTTCTCCAAATCAGCCAGCCCTCACCATGGTTTTGCTGCATACTATTCCTTTGTGGAGAAAATTTTCAAAGCTGATGCAGTTCTCCACTTTGGTACTCATGGTTCTCTTGAGTTCATGCCAGGAAAACAGGTGGGAATGAGCGATGCTTGTTTCCCAGATAGTCTCATTGGAAACATTCCAAATATCTATTACTATGCAGCAAACAATCCATCCGAAGCAACCATTGCCAAACGAAGGAGTTATGCGAATACCATTAGCTACTTGACTCCCCCAGCTGAGAATGCTGGACTCTACAAGGGACTCAAGCAGCTTAGTGAGCTCATTGCATCGTACCAATCACTGAAAGACTCAGGCCGTGGCCCTCAGATTGTGAGCTCTATCATTAGTACTGCTAGACAGTGTAATCTTGACAAGGACGTTGATCTTCCAGATGAAGGGCAGGAAATAGATGCCAAAGAACGTGACCTCGTGGTAGGAAAAGTATATTCTAAGATTATGGAGATTGAGTCTCGTCTTCTGCCCTGTGGACTTCACATCATTGGTGAACCTCCAACCGCCATGGAGGCAGTTGCTACTCTTGTCAACATTGCTGCATTGGACCGTGCTGAAGATGATATTTCTTCCCTTCCTTCTATACTGGCTGCCACAGTTGGAAGAAACATTGAGGAGATCTATCGAGGAAATGACAATGGAGTCTTGCGAGATGTGGAGCTGCTTCGTCAAATTACTGAGGCATCACGTGGAGCAATATCAGCATTCGTTGAACGTTCAACTAACAGCAAGGGTCAGGTTGTTGACAATTCTGACAAGCTGACCTCACTCCTTGGTTTTGGTATTAATGAACCATGGATCCAGTATTTATCAAACACCCAATTCTACAGAGCTGATAGGGAAAAGCTCAGAGTCCTGTTTCAGTTCTTGGGAAACTGTCTGAAGCTAATTGTGGCTAATAACGAGGTGGGAAGCTTGAAACAGGCTCTTGAAGGGAAATATGTTGAACCAGGTCCTGGAGGGGATCCAATCAGAAACCCGAAAGTTTTGCCTACTGGGAAAAACATCCATGCTTTGGACCCACAGTCTATTCCCACAACAGCAGCACTGCAGAGCGCCAAAATAGTGGTTGAAAGATTATTGGAGAGGCAAAAGGTTGACAATGGGGGCAAGTACCCGGAGACTGTTGCTCTGGTGCTTTGGGGAACAGATAACATCAAGACTTATGGAGAGTCGTTGGCACAGGTTATGTGGATGATTGGTGTTAGGCCAGTTGCAGACACACTTGGACGCGTTAACCGAGTGGAACCAGTTAGTCTTGAAGAGCTCGGAAGGCCTAGAGTTGATGTTGTTGTCAACTGCTCCGGGGTGTTCAGGGATCTCTTCATCAATCAGGTATTGGTCTATCCTCCTTTTCTACTGATTCTGCATTGGATTGGTACATTAGTGCAATGTCAGATCATTTCTTATCATTTGTTTTGTTTTGTATACAGATGAATCTCCTGGACCGAGGAATCAAGATGGTTGCTGAGCTTGATGAACCAGAAGACCAAAACTTTGTTAGGAAACATGCACTAGAACAGGCAAAAACACTCGGAATTGATGTTCGTGAAGCAGCTACTAGGGTCTTCTCAAATGCTTCGGGTTCTTATTCTTCCAACATCAACCTTGCTGTCGAGAACTCATCATGGAACGACGAGAAGCAACTTCAAGACATGTACTTGAGCCGAAAGTCATTTGCATTTGACTGTGATGCTCCTGGCGTTGGCATGATGGAGAAGAGGAAAGTTTTTGAGATGGCTCTAAGCACAGCTGATGCCACGTTCCAGAACCTTGACTCATCAGAAATTTCACTCACAGATGTTAGTCACTACTTTGATTCAGACCCAACCAACCTCGTTCAGAACCTCAGGAAGGATGGAAAGAAGCCTAGTGCATACATTGCTGACACCACTACTGCTAATGCGCAGGTGAGTGTTATCACTTGATGGATAACTTGAAAGATGTTAACCCGTTAAGTTGATAGAAGTCGTTTTACTTTATGTCTAATGCCTCTATCTGTGATGATTCAGGTACGTACGTTGTCTGAGACTGTGAGGCTAGATGCAAGGACAAAGTTGTTGAACCCCAAGTGGTATGAAGGCATGCTGTCCACTGGCTACGAGGGTGTTCGTGAGATTGAGAAACGATTGACCAACACAGTGGGGTGGAGTGCAACTTCAGGACAAGTTGACAATTGGGTGTATGAAGAAGCCAACACAACATTCATCAAAGATGAAGAGATGTTGAACAGGCTTATGAACACAAATCCAAATTCTTTCAGGAAGTTGCTTCAGACATTCTTGGAGGCCAACGGGCGTGGATACTGGGACACTTCTGAAGAGAACATTGAGAAACTCAAGCAGTTGTACTCAGAAGTCGAAGACAAGATTGAAGGAATCGATCGATAAATGTATAGCTAAATATATGATCTCTGATTATTGCCTATTTCTGTTACAGGATAATAAGATCCTTTCTGCTTCCTAACAATTTCTGATGTGAATCCCTTTGATAGTCCCCAGTGTAATTTTTGTTCATTTTTTGGGGATGTCTTTCTACTTTTATGAGAAAAATACTGCTTCCACATATTCAAATTTGATCTTGAAAGTTGCAATTGCCTTCATACTCTTATTTTTTTCTTTGTTTTCCCCACCCGATGTGCAGTACCTGCGCTCAGAGACCTAACTAATTTGGAATCACGTCAGGAAGTCCCACTATGAAACAAGAGAGTATTTCAGCAAAACGAACACTGAAATTCCCATATACATGATGTATACCAAAAAAGACGAAAACCTACAAAAGACATGTATATGATTTTCTACCAAGGATACTCAATCGTCTATGGAGATATATTTCAATATTGCACTTTGAAGATCGTCTAATCAAGTGTGTATTGAGGGATGTCAAGGGCGTGCTCTCTCTAACAACTTAAGTTTTTCGATGAGATGGTCACACGCTTCACATAAGGCGTGACATAACTGCAGTTTTGGGACATTTGTAGTCAGCTGTTGGACACATCAAGATGAAAATTGTTCAAGCAATGCAGTATTGGGACATTTGTAGTCAGCTGTTGGACACATCAAGATGAAAAATGTTCAAGCAATCTTGATTTCTCACATGTAAAAAGACTGAAGATATACAAAAGATTTCTCTGTAGAAACTTATCATATTCAAAAGCAAAATGAAAATCAGAAGAAAGTTTGCACTGTTTTCTCCTTCAATTCTCTTTGCCACAAAATTTTTAAGAGTTAAAACAGTATTACAACAAAAATCTACAAGAGCACAAAACCTTTTCTTTCACCCCATTCCCCCCTACTAATGAATGGTGCAAAAGAATAGTAGAATTCAGCTGCACATAAACTTTACATGTTTTACATTTTCCCTGTGAGACTCTTAAGAGTATCTATCATTACACTATACCAACTCCATTAAAAGGGGGTCACCTGCTGCCATAACTCTGATCAGCTTTATGAACTCTTGCTCACTTGACACTTTCCATGGGTGGATTGCAGGCGCCTCAGCTGAATAGAATGTCGTTAAATTGCCAGGAGGCTTCTTCTTGTAAATCATTGAATTCAATACAGAATCGAAATTCTGTGGAGAATCCATAGCCGTAAAAAACATTGGCATTGCAACCTTATGATGCATGTCTAGATTCCCTACTAGATTAACGAGGTCGACAAAGTCGGATACGAAACGACGGGGGATGTAGAATATCTCCGAACTGCATATCGTCAAGGTCTCGTCACTTTTCATTGACTCTTTGTAATTGACTTGCAAATGTACCGGCATTGTTGCTACCACTTTCTTAACAACGTCTGCTTGCTTCACAAACCAGTCCGATTTGTTAGCTACTGGAACAGCATGCCATGACTTGGATACCTATGCGCATAAGAAAGAAATGAGATACCTATTGCTTGTGTTTTTGGACAGGACAGGTTTGAGAGCTAATCATTGGCAATGATAAATTAAGAACTTCAAAAAATTTCCCTTTTCCCCCTCTTCCCTGGAGGGAGTTGGATGATCAGGCAAGGGCGCTTTAGCCACAAGTAAAAAACTCAAGCTATGTCTAAACACATCATAGGATGGAACTCTTCCCTCATGACGATGGACTCAGATGTCTTATACATTATCTCCTCTCCAAGCCGAATAAAGAAATAAAGAGCCTTACATATATTATTTTACATATATACTGGATGTCGTTAATTAGATTAGATGGTTAGTAGGTAGCCGAGTGTTACCGCACTCTATGTGGGAGAGGCAGGTGGATTTCGCCTCATCTTCTACCCTGCTATTAGTAGTAGTAGTTAGTAATCGGTTAGTTTCTTATTCTCCAATGTGTGGTACTATCTGCTACTTCATTTACTTTGTATCTTGCTATCATATTTCCCTGCTTCGAAAACTTCTCTTTTGAGATGAAGGTATATCGGAAACATCCTCCCTAGGGATAAGGTCTGCTTACATCCTACCCTATCCTACCCTACCCAGACCCCACTTGGAGTGTTGTTATGTATACTTCCCTCTAAATTCCCTTTGAATAACAGCAAGAAGTACAAATAACAGAAGAAATCAGTGAACAGTAAATTTCTTTAATTGAGCCATAAAAGGTAGGAATTGGCTGAATCCGTAACAAGTAACAATTAGTAGAAACCTTCCACTAAATACCAAAAATAAGGACTTCATATTTGTACTTACCTTGTTTGCTATCCAGAGCTTTGACTTGTCTGCTTGAAGCAAGTTCCAGTAATTAAGGATAGTATCGTCCTGGAGAAATAGAAAGCCTTCTGCACTAGTGTATCTATCAAATATCTTTGGTGCATACCTGAAACAGAATTTGCCAACAGTGTATTTAATCAAGAATGTTTCCAGGATATAAATTGAACTCACATGATTGACTGCAGGCCATTCGACAACATGAAAACCACAAATGCCCTTAAAAAGATGACATTAGCATGGAGCTCTAAATGATACGTAATATATAACATGTGCAAGCATGGATAGAGGGTACTGGAAAAATACTCATTTCAGTTGTCAAGAGGTCCTTATATATTAATAGAAGTAGGGAGTATAGAGAAGCATTAAATTGACAAACATGGTCAATGAGGATTTATATAGCTTCTCTCAAATTATTTGAGACTGAGGAATTGTTGATGTCGTATACAAAAGAAATGCTTGCAAACACACAATTTCTTTTTTGCTTTTTTAAGTCACACATTTTTTCCATGGTTGATGGGGATATAATTCAGTATATAAATTCTCTAGCAGCTTAGACTTTTAGGGCATCTCCAACCCAGAACACCAAATTTTACTCTAAAAAGGAATATTATCTTTATATTCTTCTCTCTTCAATATTATATAATTCTTTTTATTTCATTTACATTTTCAAAAATGTTATATAATACAAATATAATAAAATAATGAAAAAGTGATTTAGTGTTGATGAATAGTGTCACACTAAATTTGGTGCGACACTATTCACACACTAAAATAGTGTTGGGTTGGAGCCCCAAAACTAACTTTTACACCAAAATAGGATTTGGTGTAAAAAAATAGTGTTGGGTTGGAGATGGTCTTAGATGAGATAGTCACACACTTTAATCCGGTATCATCCAATGGTCAAGTCTCATTGTCACCCATTAAAAAGCAATCCGGTGCACTAAGCTCCCACCGCTACCCATTATCAAAAAGAGTTTCCACATGCTTGGTAAATGAATCAAACATGCACGTGAAGGAGCTTGTTGAAGAGTAATCAAGTAAATAGAAGTGTGATCTCTCTAGCAGCATAGGCTTTTAGATGAGATGATCACACACGTCAATAATAGTATTTTTGCATATGTTACCATTCATGGTTGAAGCATCTTCCTTTACTGCTAGCACTGGTTTACTGGTTGGTACAAACAAGAGTCGCAGATTGCAACAAGTATATACCAAAGTTTTATTCGAAACTGAATTAGATTATGAAGAAAAGGAATAAGATGTTTTAAGAAAAGTGTCCATTACATTTAATGAGCTTTCAACAATCAAAGAGAGAAGTTATAAGTTTTCACTCTTGCATGACAACTCTCAGTGAGTTCACTGATTTATCTTATGATCACCTCTACCAAAAGAAATGAAAGAAATGTATATCAAACAAAAAAGATACGAAAAAAAGGTTATAATTCAATTGATGATATGCTTTATACACTAACAAGGCAGACCAAGTTCATACTGACTACCCCCTCTGTACAGAACAACAACAACATACCCAAGTGAGCTCTAAGGAGGGTAAAGTGCACGCAAACCTTACCCCTACCTTGGAGGTAGAGAGACTATTTCCGATAGCCCCTCAGCTCAAAGGATACATGTCCAGGTTCGAACAATGGACCTCTTAGAAGTTAACAAAACTGTGAGCCAATCAGTCCAAAGAACCATATACCCCCTTCTATACAAAAACCATAACTTATTACCAAATAAACTAAAACGCGAAGAAAAAAGATGCAGAAGACTAACCTGTACATATAATCCAAATTTCCTTTCTCAACGGCAAGATCTACATTCTTCTGGTCAGACAATATGATAACTGTCTTAAATATCCTGCCATATAGCAATCTCCACTCCAAGGCAGTACGTTCAACTGGTCCACTACAAAAGATTATGAGCACAACATTGCCAAAATTCTTCCTCCACTTAATCAAATTGGCGATTTCATAATTCACTGTACCAATCTCTTCTACCCCAAGATGCACAGATGGCAACTTCTGAGGTACAAATTCCTTCCTGTCACCATGGCCTATGCTTGCCCTTGGCCGATCCAACTCTAAAGACATTAGCCGAGGCTGCATGTACCCAACAGCAAGCAGATCTTGAAGCCATGCAGCAGTGAACTTGACATCTTGCACTGTCCAAAAGCCTTCTTCAGCCATTGCATAGCTTAACTCCAAAATCTTTTCAAACAACCTGTGTTTACTGGATCTCCACGCTACCAAAAACTTTGTTAAACGGCCAACATTCACGTGTAGATCTTTCTCTTCTGAAAAAGGGTATCCCTCGATTCTATCATACCGATGGATAGTGGGAGGATACACCACAACATACCCACCAATCTCCCATAACAGTCTCTGTGTCCAATATCCTCTTAAAACATCAGAAGCCATTGTACTAACAGAAACTGGGAGCATCAAACCCCAAAATGCAGATGAATGAAAAAGCGTATTAAATGAATTAACCGGAACCATCATACCCTGGGGCAATGCCACTTTCGGGGCATGCTCATCAAATCTAATATCAAATGCTTCAAACCCTGCCTTCCTAGTAAAATAGAACACTGAATCCACATCCGGTAAACCATTCGAGATCCCTTGCTGGATAAGCTGCTTTCCACCAAAAATCTCAGTATAAAACTCCTCATGTCCAATTTCACCCACATTTTCCAATGGCAAACCTCTCGGCCAAACAGACCGTTGCCCAAAATGGATATACGGGTTCACCACAGTCCTATTAGGATTATCATGACTATATTGCAAAATCACTTCTTGCCTAGCATCCTCACCAATCAATTCAACATCAAAATGTTTACCAATATCATCACCAATCACATCACCACGATCATCCATATCCAAAATCTTTTTAGCACCATGTTGTATAGCAAACAAATAACCAACAGTCTTTCTAACATAAGAATCATAAGGCAAGTAATCTACAACCCTGAATCCTAACTTCGCTTGCATTTCCAAAGACAAGAAAATTGTACCTTTCAAGTTCCAATCTTTAGGGGTTTTCGAGTTCCCAACTGCAAGAACCTGCCACCCTTTGATCCTCCCAAGCTTTCTAAGCGAATCCGACGGGTAATCTGAAACAGAAACCACAACCCATTTCTCAGATCGAAAATTTGCGTAAGGAGTAGACTTATCTAAGATAGCTGGTATGTTATTCCAGTTGATTTTGGGGAATTCAGGTCTGATGGAGTGAGTTTGAGTTGACTGTAAGCAGAGGAGAGTAGTGGTGTCACCAGCAGCACTACGAAGGTAGAAAAAAATAGCAATGGTGGAGATTAAGAGCAAAATGGTGAGGATTTTGTAAAGATTTTCAGAAACCCATGTGGAAAAATCAAGATTCTTGGCTCCATTGAAACGATTTGGGGTTCTTGATAGAGGAATTGATGATCTTTCTCTAATGGGTTTTGGTCCTTTTGGTGATTTAGAAACACCATCTTCACGATCTTGGACTAACATTGAAATCCCACCACCTCAATTTTACACACACACAAGAGTAAAATGAGAGCTTTATCTTTTTTGAGTTCTTGAAACTCAAGTGTTAGATTCTTCAATCTAGCATTTGACTTGAGACTGAAAATGCTAAAAAAGTTTGTGTTTTTGGGTATTTGCCGACAAGGGATGGGAGGGGTGGGGGGACGGGGGTGGGTTCCTTTAGCTTGAAGGTTAACTTCAGTTGGGGTAGTTTGGTGAGAGGTGCACCTTTGGACTCTACCATTTCTACTTTTTTTTAATTATGTTTGTTGATCTGGAGATTGGGTGGCCAATAACTCAAGAATAGACAAATCAACTAACTTAAAGAGATGACACTGAACGATCTGGTGCGGATTAAGTTATTCTCTCTTAATCAGAAGTTTTGATTTTAAATGGTGGAGATTCAATAATAGTACTTGACACGAAGAGTTTCTCCTTAAATGAACTCTCCATGATAAGAATCTTAATTAATCGAACTTCACTAAAACACTGAATAAAAATGATTTGGTGCAAATATAGGATTGCTTCTTTCTTAATCAGAAAATTTGATTTCGAGCGTTGAAGATGAAATAATACTTGACAGGAAGAGTTTCTCTTGAATGAACCCTACGCGACAAGAATCTTAATTAGTCGAACTTCACTCGAACACTAAATGAAAATGATTTGGTGCAGCTGATAGAATTGCTTCCTTCTTAATCAGAAATTTTGATTGCGAGTGTTGGAGATGAAATAATACTTGGCAAGAATAATTGCTCCTGAATAAACCCTACACGACAAGAATCTTAATTAGTGGAACTTCACTCGAACACTAAATGAAAATTATCGGGTGCATCAGATGAAATTACTTCTCTCTTAATCGGAAGCTTTGATTTCGAGTGTTGGAGATAAAATAATACTTGATAGGAAAAATTTCTCCTGAATGAACTATGCGTAACAAAAATCTTATTTAATCGAACTTCACTTAAACACTAAATGAAAAATAAACTAACTCAAAAGATATTTAAGAAAAGAAAGAAGAAATCAACTCAATGGATGAAAACATAAAAGTCAAGAAAAAGAAAGGCAAAAGAGAACTTAACTTTATGTGTAAGTTATTTATTAGGAAAATTAAGGTTAATATTGGAAGGTTTTCACATAAGTTTACAAAGAATTTTAAATTACGTAAAAGAAATTGAACTATCTATAATAAGAAAATATATGACTTATTTTGTATGACAATCTAAAATAGTCCAGGTCATAACAACAAGTTAATTAGGAATTTTACAAGTGATAGTGTAGAATTAAAGAAGAGACTGAACTAGCTTTTAAAAAAAATATGACCAAGATTTAAACACTTCTGATTAAAATTGATACATTACTCTTGTAAACTAATTACTTTTACGTATAATATGAATAGTGTTTATGTGAGATGTAAATTGTTCGAATTAGTAGAGTAAAAAAAAGGTAAAAATGATCAATGGATCCTAGTGTTACCAGAGAGCTTTCATTTGGTTCTACCTCGTTCTATACACATGCAACTGCAAATTTAACTTGAAGTGCTTTCACATAAATTTGAGGAATAAACTATATGCCAACTTTATACCCAAAATGTCTCAATTTGAACTATCATCCATACTCCATGCCTTAGTTAGACTTTAATCATTCCTACTTTAAACCTATGATTTTGAATAACTTCAATTCTGAATAAAATTTTGAGGCAGCTAAACTTTAAAAAAATTGTAACCTTGGCAATTTTTTTAAATAAAATAAATAGTGCTATTTGTGCAATTCGCCCCAAAATCAGGGCCAAAAATTGGGTTCTATTATAGGTCCAATGTGATGCAAGCAAAATTTGGGTCATTTGCATTTTTGTCCCATGTTTTGTGATGGTCTTTAATTTTTGTTTACAAATAACTTTTTTGTGAGATATAAGTATATATCTTCCCATCATAATATCCACAAGACATATCTAAACATGACTTTAGTTTTTAAAGAATTGAAAAAAGACTCAAATACGTCATCGAATTTTGAGAAAAGGCTCATCTATGTCATCCGTTAAAAGTTTAGCTTATCTGTGCATTTTCGTTTGAGAAAAGGTTCATCCATGCCATTATCTATTAACTAAAAAAAGTTTTGGTTTTGCAATTTTTTTTACACGTGGTCAACTATGATTCGGGCACATAATTAATTAAATCATTTTTAAAAAAAGAAAAGGCTCAAATATGTCATCGAACTTTTGAGAAAAGGCAGATCTATGTCATCCGTTAACAGTTTGGTTTATTTACGCCATTTGAGTTGACAAATAATGAAATGGATAAGCCTTTTCTCAAACGAAAATGGCATAGATGAGCCAAACTTTTAATGAATGGCATAAATGAGCCTTTTCTCAAAGTTCGATGGCATATCTGAGCCTTTTCCCAAATGAATTTATGCCCCACCAGGTATAAGTTCGATTGCTAAATAAGAGTAACAAAAATCAAAGACCGATCCATTTGAAGGACAAAAATTAAAAGACCATCACATTTTAAGGGCAAAATGTTAATACATCCATCCCCTTCGTACTTCGACCACCCTATCCATTCCTGCACTAACAAGTAGGAGCTTGTTTATGTGATTCGTTGCACTTGCCTGCACCTATCGACTAATTCTATTGCCTATCAATTAGTGAAACTTTTTTGATAGCACAAATCACTATGCTTCGCCTTTTTCTATATATAATAATACACATCTTGGTTGTTGCGGTCTCTACGAGTAATAGCAAGAGAGTGGGCCGAATATTGGGCCGAACCCAAAGAAGCATACTGGATCTTATATAAAGCCCATTTCGTAGTCCGTAATCAGCAAGTAACCCAAAAAAAAAACTTTAACGCGCCATTTTTCAAAATTTGCATAGAGAAACAAAAATAACGTTGAAGAAGTTTAACAATGGAAGATGAAGAAGAAGCATTTCCTAATGAAGATGAACTTCATGTTGCTTCTGCTCTTCTCCTTTTATCAAATACACATTCTCCATCACCCAAGTATAACGAATTCATAATTTCTATCGAATTCGAGTTACTGAAATTGTTGCTGTTATGAGTTTTTTTGCATGTTTTTAATGAATCGAAGTTTCTATCGAATTTGAGTAACTGGAATTGTTCCTATTATGAGTTTTTTGCATGTTTTTTTTTGCGAAATTTGAAATTTCTATCGAATTCGAGTAACTGAAATTGTTGCCATTATGAGTTTTTTGGGGTAATTTTGCAGAGTGAAGAGCATATCTGAGATTTCACAGATAGCGGCATTGAGTTATACGTCTTCGGTATCGGATTCGAAGTCAAAATCGACTGATTCTTCAATTGTAACAGCTGATGATGATGATACACATTCTCCATCTCCTAAGTATAATGAAATTTGAAATTTCTCTTGAATTTGAGTTCCTGAAATTGTTGCTATTGTGAGTTTTTTTTTTTGGGATTATTTTGTAGAATGAAGATCATATCTGAGATTTCACAGATAGCTGCATTGAGTTACACGACGTCGGTATCGGATTCGAAATCCAAATCGACTGATTCTTCAACTGTAACAGTTGATGATTTTGATACACATTCTGCATCTCCAATGTATAACGAAATTCAAAATTTCTCTCGAATTTAAGTTACTGAAATTGTTGCTATTATGAACTTGCTTTGCGTGTTTTTTGTTGGTAATTTTGCAGAATGAAGAGCATATCTGAGACTTCGCAAATAGCTGCAATGAGTTATGCGACGTCCGTATCAGATTCGAAGTCCAAATCGACTGATTCTTCAACTATAACAGCTGATGATTACGACGATGAGGATGCTGATTATGATGATGATGCCTCGTTTGCTGAGGCTAAAGCAAATGCTCGTCGGATTAAGATGATTCGGATGATTCGTGTCATTAATAAGCTCAAGGTGATCAGTTTTACTGTTAAAGTTGATAAAAATGAAGTATTGCATGAAAATGAACGCGATCTAGATTTTTTTTATTGTTATTCTAGTTTGTTTTTATTGAATTATCGGTTTATTATATTCTTCGATCTGTTATGAAGCTGCTTCTTCAGTGCTTCGTATTGGATTGTTTTTTGAATTTTCATAGTTACACTGCTCTGTTTTCTCAGTGTTATGAATTGCGGAATCGATGATTTAGAACGAATCAGTTTTTTTCTAGCTTTGATTGATGTTTAGATGTTTTGAGTTTTTGAATTTTCGTTCCTTCAAATCTCCAAAGTTCCGCTACTCTGTTTTCTCTGTTCTTCGATTAGAAATTGACGCTTGATAATCGATTCGACATTCTCTGTTTTGTAGGCGGTGCGAAGGAGACGATCTAAGAGCTTATGCATTTCCGATTGCCTGAAAATCAGCTCCGGCAAGCCGAAATCGGCGTTTTCTCTGGCTACCTCTTGCACATCAGCTTCGTCGTGCGTGTCCATTGGCTCTACTGCCGCCGGCGACATCTCAAGCGGCGGAAGCTGTGAGGCTAATAGAGTAGTACCAAAGGAAAGAGAGTGTGTTCCGAGGAAGATGAAGGTGATTTTCTCAGCTAATATGCGGCGTCGAGCTGAAGCCATATTGAAGGTGTTGTCATCTCATGGTTGTGCTTCTGAAGTTAGGATTCGTCAGCTTCTTGGTGATAGCCCTGATACCAGCAAAGCCTTGAGAATGTCAGTCTCTCTCTCTCTCTCTCCCAGTAGTAGATCTCGGGCCTATGAATGGGGATATTTTTCGAGGGCCCAAATAATCATCAAATCTATTCCTATCTAACGAAACACTATTAGAAAATTACAAAAACAAAACGATTCAGCTCTCTCACACACAGAGCACATAAATAGTGCGTACAAATCATCAATGCATAGTGTACAACTGCATGATGTTTGTGATAGTCTAATATTGTGACTTTTTTCTTGTGTATGTTTGGTTATTTCAGATTGTTGAGGCTAGAAGAAGTGAAGAGGACAGGGGCAGGAGGTCGCACTGATCCCTATGTTTATGTGGTAAGTTAATCAATTACTACTATTTAATCTAGGAATATCATAATATTTATTTAAAATATAAAAAAATTGTCATTAAATCTTT